GTTATGGCGTTCCATGTATGCCCTGCCTGCTAGCATCTTGCACCCTGCTGTTATGTGCTGGATTGTCTCAGGGGCATCTTTGCACAGCCTGCACCTGGGGTCTTGCCTGGTATGGTAGACCCCTGCCTCTATTGATCTTGTACTTAGAGCCTGTTCCTGTGCTGCCAGCATCAGTGCCTCTGTGCTGTCTTTCAGTCCAGCTTTGTCCAGCCACTGGTAGGATTTTTCAATATTAGCCACTTCTTCTATTTGACGGTGGTAAATACTCTGCAGAGGTTTGTCCTTCCATGAGGGTTCCTGCTCTTCCTTCCCTTGTTCCTCTGGTTTCTGCTGCCTGAGGTGTTCACTAAGCACGTCATCACTTGGGGGCATCTGCCTGATGTAGTCATGGATCTTTGTTGTTTCCGGGGGAATGCAGAGGCGTTCCCAGGCCAGCCGAGAGACATAGTCCCTCCAGCGTGTCCTGGGTCTTCCCCTGGTGCCTCCTCCCAGTGGGACATGCCCGAAACACCTTCCTAGGAAGGCGCCCAGGAGGCATCCGAAACAAATGACCGAGCCACCTCAGCTGGCTCCTCTCAATGTGGAGGAGCAGTGGTTCTACTCTGAGCTCCTCCCGGGTGACTGAGCTGCTCGCCCTAGCTCTAAGGGTGCGCCCGGCCGACCTACAAAGAAAGCTCATTTTGGCTGCCTGTATGCGGGATCTGACTGAGCTCCTCACCATATCTCGAAGGGTGCGCCCGGCCACCCCACAGAGGAAGCTCATTTCGGCCGCCTGTATCCAGGATCTTGCCCTTTTGGTCATGACCCAAAGCTCATGACCATAGGTGAGAGTCGGAACGTAGATCGACCAGTAAATCGAGAGCTTCGACTTGCAGTTCAGCCCCTTCTTCACCACGACGGACCGGTACATCTACCGCATTACTGCAGAAGCTGCACCGATCCGCCTGTCAATCTCCCATTCCATCCTTCCCTCACTCGTGAACAAAATATTTAAACTCCTCCACTTGAGGATGTACCGGAAACAAGTCTGGCTTACTGACAACAATGCGAACCAAGCTCCTGCTCCGATCGTACAGGGACCGGACAGCCCTTATCAAAGGGCACCCCCCACAGGGCGCAGCGAGGGACACAGTCGAATGCCTTCTCCAGATCCACAAAACACATGTGGACTGGTTGGGCAAACTCCCATGAACCCTCCACCACCCTGAAGAGGGTATAGAGCTGGTCCAGTGTTCTGTGGCCAGGACAAAAACTGCATTGTTCCTCCTGAATTTGAGGTTCAACTGTCAGTCAAATTTTCCTCTCCAGTACCCTGGGTGACTGCGACTGATCACAGTTTGACATGTGTATGAAGGGCTGCAAACACACATGGAATTATTCATCCAGAGAGAGAACGCTTTGAGTATATGTCCAATAAAAGGATGTAACCCTTCTGGGTGGCCAAACAAGAGAGGTCAATTGGAATTCTGATTATTATTATCTTAGTAATAATCTTATTAGACGGATTTGACTTGTTCTGAATACTTTGTGAAGCCGCTTTCTTTGAGACACTTCTAACTTGCTCCATGCTTCCTGCAGATGGCAGCAGAGCGGGACAGCAGCAGCAGTGACGGCAGCAGCAGCAGCAGCAGCAGGCCCCGCCTCCCCAGGGGG